GTCTACTCCCACTGACTTCAATGGGCCTAACTTTCATGCTTAAAGTTAAGCATAGGTGTAAACACTTTGCTGAATCATGGCCTTTTTAATAACACAATGGTCCAAATTCATCTGTCATGCAACTCCAGTTAAATCAATCGATTTAATGCAGAGGCCTATGGTCCAATATATTCTGAAGGCAAAAAAAAAAAAAAAAAGTCCATTGGTTTGGAAATGCCAAATATTCTAAATAATAAAATTAAACAAAATTTAAATAAATGGAATGCTTTTAAATAATTTTAAAAATAATGTAAATCAAATTAAAGACCCAGTTCAGGAAGTACTTAAGCATGTGCCTTACTTTAAACACATGCATAGTTCTGTTGAAGTCAACAGCACTATTCACATGATTAACTTTAGGCATGTGCTTTAAGTACCTTAATGAATCAGGACCCAGGTATATAAATCCTCTTTCATGTATTAAATTAAGTAAAATCCTTAAGAATTCTTAAATCGTGTCGCTTTGCCTAAGAAATCAGAAGTGCTGCTCTACTCTGATGGTTATATATTCACAATAAATCCAGGCACAAAAATCAATAGAAATATTTAAGCCTGTGATGCTGAAGGAGTGTCCTTTGGAAAAAGATCAAATGTTAAACAATTGAATCTCATATCACTATGGCACATTATTACTACAGGCAAAGAATTGTTGACATTCATATTTATTAATCTTTTTTTCAGAAGAGCGTGGAAACATTTGGCAAATAAAATATATGTGATTTAATTTATGACACCTAATTGTTCTAGATTTTCTGGGCTTCTCCACTGTGATGCAAATTAATGTGAACACGTTTATATAAAGTACGTTGTATAAGCAACTTACTAATTGGTCAGATATTTCAAATTTTATACAAGTAGTTTGTTTCACAAAAAAAGAATTATGCAAGGAAACTAAATAGATTCAAGAAAAAAATTAATGAGGTCATACGGATATGTTTTGTTTATGCAGGATGCCACAACTATATCCTAAATATATCATAGGTTTATGTTATCATAACAATGTGTCATTCCCAGCTATTAATCTATGCTACAGAGTACTGCATGTATATTTAATATTCCTCAGAAAGACCATAAGGCTTATTTACATTTTCTATAGGTATTGAGGTTTTAAGGATATTTTAATATTGGGCTCTAACTCTCTACTGTCAGAATGCTGTAAAGTAAGTAAAAAAGATTAAGCAATGATCTAAGCTTAGTCAAATCTATGTTCCGAATGCCAATAATGATGATTTGCCCTCAACAAAGACAGTTTCTAAAACGATGTCATTCTTCAACTTTCACAACACTGTGCACTCATCACTTCATACAGAAAAATATTTGAAGAGGAGCTGAATATTATATACAACACATGTGATGGCATGTGTTCCGATAATTTTAACAGCAAATCATAAGGTTAAAGAAAGTATATACACCAAGATGAACAAATGGATTCCTAGTTGTAAGAGTAATCCTATTTAAATAAATCTGGCATTTAGCTGAAAAATTACTGCTAGAAAGTTGCAATATCTAGAGTAAAGTGATTTTATTTACTTTTAACGTATAGTTAAAAGCTTGGAATCATTTTTCTGTACTTCACTACAATGTCCGCATCTTAGTCACAGGACAAAGTGTAATTGGTTTGTTTTTTTTCACCATCTTGCATTGTGGAAAGAACACAGTTTGCAGAAATTTAATTTTGATTATTAACAGGAAATTGGTCACAACAACGAGGGAAAATTGTGAAAATTAGTGTGCACAAGGTCTAAAAGAACAAAGCATGGCCATTATTATCATTTAGAATTTATGAACTAAAATGTATTTTTAAGACAAAGTTAATGCCTCCCTTTGAAATACTTGTGTTAAAATCAAAAACACAACTTTAATAGGTGACAGACATAGGTACTGTATGAAGAATTACAGCTTAGAAAATTAATAAAAATAGTATCTAAAACAGTATTAGTAAGATATGAAGCTCATTCATTAATGGTCTCTGTGATAATATATCACTGAAAATGTTGCATGAAGGACAGTCTTTGATAGGATTATGTACAGTATAATAGCAAGATATTGAAATTAAAATTCACTGAGAAGATACATCTTGTGAACTGAAGGGTAAGAAGATAATAATGGTAACATTAATAATAATAAATAACAAGTATAAAATGATTCACATAAATAGAATTTCCATCAGCAATCATTATTGTAATTATGGGAATGATAAAGTAATAATCTACAATAAATAGCTAATCTTTATTGATTCACTATTTAATTTCTTTTTTAAAAAAGCCTTTAGAGTTGCTGTCAATAACAATAATGTGTACAAGGAGAAAAAGTTATACAGTGCATAAATGGTAATAAAACAGTACTGCATAATCTGTTTCTAAAGAACCATTTGAAGATATTTATATTCTTTGGTGCAAGAAAAGAAAAAAATATTCCTAAAAGAATTTCCCCACTTATTTAATGAATGCTGTGGGATTTACTTTAACACATGGTTCTGGGGGGTTCCAGAGACGTATTGGGAAAATTCAGAAAGTTCAGTATCTGGCTTTTTAATCACAACCTTCTCCAAGGTTGGAATTGTTCTTCATCAATGGCATCTAGGAAGAAAAGACAGACCATCAGCAGTCTGACCTACAGCAGCCCTAGGGGCAGTTCCACTGCCACCAGCAAAATTAGCACTAAAGGCAACCAAAAGGCCAAGCTAGGGGCCAGATAAGAAAAATAGCAAGGAACTAACTATTACTGTTAGGAAATATATTCCAGAATTTAGCATATGGGTCCTTCAATTGCCAAACAAACGTTCTGCTAGGTAGTGGGACTTCATTCCAATGCTAAAGCAGATAAAAGAGAAAGGGTCAGAAGGATCTTAAACAGTATTTAACATTGGGGGCTGACAAGATCACTGGCATCGTATTGTTGAAATTAGGGTCCAGTTTTAATTCCCTTTGGATTTGTAGCAGAACTTATGGAAAAAGCTTATGTTGTGTCTGAAAAAAAATACATTATTATGAAGAGAAAGACTAAGTTTTAATTCATTTTTTATTTATTCTTCACCATAAAGATGCCTTTTCTTAATTAATAATATAGATACACCTGGCCTTTGAGCCTGCAAACATTTAAATGTCTCTTCAGCCTCTTTTATTTCAAGTTAAGAAGGAGTTGATTCATAAAAGAATATTTACTTCTATGGTATATAGCATTTTCACAGTTGTGCTATGTGTTGTAAGACAATGCAATCTATAAGAGCCCCAATCCTAAAAACATGTAGGCAGGTGAATACCTATGTAAATAATCCCTTTGAACTTAATGGGCCTATTCATTTGGGAAAAATTACCTACATATGTGTATGGATCCTTACTGTGAAAACATGCAAGAATGTATGGACAGTGTAATACATTAGAAAGGAAGTGGCAACTAACAAAAACAATTAAGGAAAAGAAATGCCAGAACTCTCGTGGGAAAACAGACCAGTACTGGGTGCATGTTGTTATCTCCCTCTCACAGTTTAAATTCATATCCTTCCAGTGATGGCATCACACATGCAGGCATTAAGACGAGAACAAATGATCATTGCTGCACTCCAGGTATTTGATGTCCAAGTAGACTGTGCTGCTCGTGCAAAGTTGTGGGCACAAAAATAGAGGCCTGGTTAAAGTTGAGATGGAAATTTGCCCCTGAGAACGTTGCATTATTTCTTTGTAAACTGTATAAGAAACATATTAAAAGGAGTTGCTGCTTATGTGAGATTAACTGGTGATAATTTGAAATATTTGATATGCTCAGAAGTTCAACAAAAAGACACTGCACCTTTAGGACAGACGTCAATGATATGGTTTGCATGTAGTAAAAAGCAAAATGTTTTATTAGCATGACAACTAACCAGAAATATGCAATGCTTAACATTGTTGTTTTGTTTTTAGAAAGAACATCTCACAACCCACCCATACCCAAGAGGGGCCAGATGACATGTGGTGCAGAGTATTGACAGATGTGGGATATGTCTAGATATGTCTAAAGACATAGAAAAAATTCCATATGAGGAGAGATTTAAAAAATTTGCACTATGTAGTTTAAAGAAAATATGAGTAATAGGACACAATACGCAGATATAAAATAATATACGATATATAGAATATATATTTGGAAGTCCTATTTACCCTTTCTCACGACATTAGAACAAAGAGACTCCAATGAAATTAACAAGCAAGACATTTGAAAATAATAAAAAGAAATACTTATTTTTCATAGCCTGTACTTAACCAGTGGAACTCATTGCCGTGAGATATTATTGCAGCTTACCAGGATTCAAAACAGAAGTAAACATTTATAATACCAACTCCCATAGTTACAGTAGACAGGACAAAACATTCTATAGAATATAAAACTTCATGTATTAAGACATAAACCAGACAGCTGCCTGGGTTTAGGAAGAAACTTCTCCCATAGGAAAGTTGCATAATAATTGTTCATTAAGTGGTTTCTTGCACCTTTCTCCTTAAAAGCATGAAGTACTGGCCAATCTTGGAAATGGGATAGCGTACTAGATGGACTGTGAGAATTTCTATATTCCTTTGATATTAATAGTTTTCTTTGATTTTCCACAAACCAAGATGGACTAATCTGACTTCATCCCCTAACAGCCAGGTTCCTCTTTTAATTGTTATTGGTATTTTATCCACTTAATTGCTCATCTTCTCTGAGTAAGACATTTGGTACTAACACCTTTGTGGCATTTATGTGTGCCAAATTTGTGGGATGGCTCTGATAATTATTCATTATTCATGACTATAAGGATAATTCTACAGCCAGATACCCTGCAAATTGTAAGTACCTATAATAGGGCTGTCCTGAGGCAGACTTCTTGAATGTTATTTCCATTTGAGGAATTTAGATAAGTTTGTTTTCCCCTAACTTGAGTTTGAATATCTCTAATATTACCAATGTGGCCATCCCTTCCTGAAGCTGATCCTTCTTTTCAGGTAGTGCACTCATTGCTGTGGATGGAGAAGTCTAAGGATTGGGAGCCAGTCAGACCTAAAAAGGAAAAGAGCTAATGGATTGCTTTAAAAAATTGAAAAAAATATGTGAATAAGTATGTGACATTATACACACTGTAAATGGGGTATGCAATCTTAAAAGAATAAAGCCATAACATTCTGCTGTTTAGCCTATTGTTAATTAGATCATTTAAATATATTAAAAAATAACTACTGAATTTAAACTGTTCCCTTTTCTATACTTTATTTCTCTTGATGATTTCTTGTAAAAGTAAAATGATCTCATGGTTATTTGATAGCTCTACACTTTAGTCAAGATGCATTGTATAAAATATAATGCAGTACAGATGTCAAACCAAGAGCTAAATAGCTTATATTTCTAAAGACCCATGAAAAAATATTAACACTATAGAAACAATGGTTCAGTAATTACTTTTTGCTGTGGAATAAGGTTAGGCATTTATCCTTATAGATCCCTAATACACTTAAAGTCAGCTCTGCCCCTGTGGTCCTTTTACCTTTGTTGATAAATGTATTGCACAGGATAGCTTGTATGACCACTACAGTATTTGAGGTCATGCTAGGCTGTTAGCACAAATGGTGTGAACAATAGTTTATATGCCACTTAACTCCTTGGGAGAAACAGTTAACCTTGCCAGAGAGGACAGATCAGTCATGTATAGTTATTAAAGTCTAGAAGGTTTTGTTATACTCTGAAATACTTTTATAAAAGTACAGTACTCTTCTGGTATTAGTGTTCCCAAGCAGGAAAGCAACAAAGCAAACAGTCATCTTTAGTGTCTTTATGAAAGGGGTATTCAAAGTAAAAAAAAAAAAAAAGTTTTCACAGATATGTCTCACTCAACACACCTGCATTGCAGAAGCTGCAAATATATTTTATGTTACTCCATCATTAGACTTCCTGGTGCCTAAATTCCACCAAATTAACAATACAGAAATCTATAGCTCTGAGAGATACAGATTATGAAAGATTTCTTTTGGTGGCCATAGCACTGAAATCAAAACACAAACAAAAGTGGATCATTTTGATTATAAATTTCAAATTCCGAGACATAATTTACAATTATCTAAAGAAAATACCTTGGAAGCAATTTTAATCCCCATAGTCACTCATGGATAGGGAGGGCAGAGTGAGCAAGGAAAAATGGAATAGAATGGGAATTTTACTATGGACCTATCTCCATCTCAAGAACAGAATCTGGCAATGAGACTGACATTAAAATCATCAACTACATTTTAATTATGTAGTAATGTAGCCACACTACTATGTACTGTGAGCCAATGACTCTATTAACTTAAACAATCTAAGCAGGGCTGGCTATGAGATCTCCAAGGAATGCCGAGGTACCACAGGAAATGGTGCTGGTGATTCAGTCAGTGGCACTCTTCATTCTAAGACAATATTGAAGAAAGGGGCCTCTCTCAGGTGAAATATAAACATATAAGTCTTCAGCAATTGGTGTCATTCAAGATTCCATGGCACTTTTGGCCCATAGGAATGCTTGGGCCATCGGGAACCTCTGGATGTCACAAAGGAAGGTTGTAGCAGCTACACAGCTTCTGAATGCCCAGCAGAAGGTGCATCCTCTAGGCAGTTTGTCTCCTTGCTGCCCCTAATGAGACCTGTACCTAACTGGTAATTGAACAATATATGAAGACCACTTTACCACAACTGAAATGGCACCACCTATGGGATGACTCACAACAGCTGTGCAGTTGTGTACAGAAATGGTACACAGCAGTTTTAGGAAAGAAGTAATAAAGAATACCATTTCCCACATGCATGTGGGAAGAAATGTCTTAAGGGGTAAGCTGTAGCAAAAATCTGTTTCTAGATGCTTAGTAAACTACATAAATTTATGTACACATTTACTTATATGTCAGCATTTTGTTATTAAGAACTGATACACCAGGAAGGAAGTCAAGTGTATTTTCCATGGCTTTAAGAGTAGGGAAGGAAAAAAAAAAGAAAAAAGGAGACTTTTACCACCACTGCCTATTTAAATCTTCCAACTGGCAAAATTAAACCATGTCTCTTTATTTATTTATTGTACTTGTAAAAAGATTAATGGGGATGTGATTCCTTCAGGCTTTTACATATAACCCCTTCACACAAAGAACAAAATTATACAGTGCGGCAAACGAACTAAATTAGCTACATTTATTTAAATAACTGCTATGGAGGAAACAATAAATCAACAAAAATCCTCACAAAAATGTGTTTACAAAGTGTCTTGTAATTTGTTTTAGCAACGACACAGATTTTTAGCTCTTAGCTAAGCTTCCTTCTAACAGGCTATTATCATATCATCTGTTAATGAGTGTTTGCTATAGAAAGAGTCAGATTTCTAGCAACCAAAAGTATTTGTAACTTCTACCGTACTGTCCTCTAAGACATGGCTGCCCTCCCAACATGAAATAGATTTTCCTAATAAACATTTTTTCAGAGGTTTTTAAAAACTTGGGAGACAATCAAAATTAAATGACAGAGCTTTGTTAAATCAGAAAAAGAGGTTATTTGAATGGTCATAATCATGCAATTATCTCATCTTCACTGAATTTCAAAGGGCTCTATCTATATCTAGTTCTATATCAGGAGTAAGTGAGTAGGGGGAGCTCTAATGCTGAACCTGTGATGTATTCATAAATCAGTACTTTCAGAGCCTGTCATGGGCTCCATAATGAGGGTCATTATTCAGGCAGAGTGTCAAAACTACTATCAAAGGACCTTCTCAGAATCACAATCATTCTGTTTCTTGTTAAATAAGCAATGTAGTACACAAAAATGGCAAACAAGAAGCAGGTCAATTTGATACAGTATGAGGGCACAGAGACCTCTAGAGTAATTTACCCTCTGGGAATTCTGATGGCTTGTGAGATAAATTATATACACCCTTGGAAAAGATTAATGGTAATAAAATCCCTGGAATATTTTCAGAAAAAAATGTCCGTATGTATGTACGGCAACTTCAGTAACAAAGAAGATATTTTCTAAAGACATTTTAACAACTGCTAGTAGCTCTGTGGAAAGCTCCTAAATCTTATTAGCAAATTGGCAGCACTCAGTGGCAGTGCCATATTTCGATTTTCTGAGAGAGTTTATTTCAAAAAACCCGACAGCTTTCCTATGTCAAACAGAAGGGGGTTTGGAAAAAGAAAAGGGAAGACACTCATTCATTGCCAAAAATAGATTCCATGAGATGTACATGTATTGATCTCCTTTTATTACCGGCAATAAGAGATGCAACAACAGAAACTATTAACAAAATGTCATGTGGACATTTGACCAGACATGGTAAACTTAAATTATTTAAAATTGATTGAGATCAAGCCTGCTAAGTACTCAGCACTCTCTATGCCTTCTGAAACCAATAGGAATTGAGGAGTTTCAAAGCTTCACTAGTTCGGGCTTCAGCAGTACTCCATTTGTCCACCTCATACAAAAATATCACACCCTGTTCATATGCATATAGACACCTATGTATGTTCACATACAGTATATGGCCAAGATTTTCAAATATAGATGCAGAAAGTTAGGTTCTTAAGTCTAAAGTTCAGCTCCTACATTCCTACATGGAGAACCATACAGGCTTACCCCTCTGAACCAGCAGAGCTCCATTTACTTCAATGGGGCTTTCTCATGGCTGCAAGGGTCAACTGTACAGAACAAGCAGCACAACGCGAACCAGCATCTAAATTAGATTGCTGATTTTTAAAAGTGGTTTCAATGGGAGCTTATGGGTGCTCAGTTCTTTTGAATATCAGGCCACTTAAGTAATCCCCAAATGAGGATTTAGGAGCCTAACTTTAGGCACTAATTTTTTTAATATCTTGGCCACACATGGATGTTGGTGTGCAGTGTTTGCATTCTGTGGAAAACTCAGCAATCATTGCATTCAACAAAAAGTATAAACAAAATATTGCTCAAAAAATTAAAGCTTGGTTCTTATCAAGGTGAGCAGTAGATTAAAAAAAGTCACACTAAATTCCTCATAAATCCCTCAGCTTCACTTTACCAAACTGAATTTTGTGTGACAATCAATCCTAGCCTGTCCAGATTTATTGTTTAAGTAAATTTGTATCTGTGGAACAATCAAAAGAAAACCAATTACATTCAGGCATTTTTTTATCCATCTGTTTGGATATAACTGTCTATTAAATGGTGTTTGCATATGAGGCAATGTTCTACTGTATGCATAGATACTCAATTATTTAGGTTATACATTTGAATAAACTGTGCAGTTAAAGGAATACCCGTGTAATGTAGGACAATTACATTTTCTACCACAGTTTATAGGTTATTAAACTAATATTAATTTCGCCCACACTACTGGATATAGGAGCCTAACCTTCACTTATGAAAGTTCTTTTGTTTATTTGCATGTTTCTACCCCTACAATTAGCAGCCATTGTTAGTCACTTCAAATGATATCAAATTATGTCAAATAGTCATAGCAAAAATGTTGCAGGAATAGAGACTACCAAAAATTAATTTCACCAAAGTGTGTACATTAAAATGTAGGACAGTTTAATGCAATTGTACAAATCTTAGCTATTTATGATGGGCCTCCAGTTTTATCTATAAGAAAATTCCCATTATTTTTAAAGTTTCTTTTTCTGACTAGTAGAAGAAAACAGCATGCAATTCTATCACATCATGTGAATAAATAGTTCATCTTCCAGCAAATCAGAGTGGTTCCAAAGGGGAATCCAGTTTTTTTTCCTGTTAAAATAGGAAAGAAGTCAAGTAATACTCAACACATAGAAATCAGCCAATTCCTACAGTCTCTGAAACATCAGTTTTCAGTTACTCATTAAGCTAAACACTCTGAAGTGCCAAAAAACAAAAACCTACAGCCCCAACATTTAGGCAGTATAGGGCTTTCCACTGACTTCAGTTAGCATTGGATATGCTCTAGGATTGTGATTTGGTAGTGTTTTCCACCCACTTTGCACAGATATAAATGACTACAAAATGTGGTGGAGAATCAGGCCTTCTAGCTGTATATATATACTAAAAGAAAAGTCATCATAGACTCATAGAATATTAGGGTTGGAAGAGAGCTTAGGAGGCCATCTAGTCCAATCCCCTGCTCAAAGGAGGACCAACACCAACTAAATCATCCCAGCCACGGCTTTGTCA